ATTGCAGGTTTGAGTAGGTTCAACTCGCATTGATCGGGTCAAATTAGGTTGGATACCCATGGATTTGGGTTCAATTGTCTTTCTCAAACAAAAGGAAAAAGCAAAATGAAAAACACTAAAGCTAATACTCGCTACCGACTCAAAACTCGTCAACAGCAAGTTCAACACACTTTGACCTGGTTGGACCGAGTTTTGGACAAATTCACACCTGACACAACACGCCAATTAAAAAAGCAGATAAAACTCGCTCTCGCCAAAAACCTGTAAAATTGGGTTCAAATTGCTTTGGTCGGGTCGAATTAGGTTGTATACTCATGTGTTTGGAGTTTGGACTCAATTTTAATTCTCAACCAAAAGGAAAAAGATAAAAAAGAATACGAAAGCGGATAAACTCGCTCATGACCCCAAACTCTCAACACTGTGTTCAACTTGCTTTGACCGGGTCAACCCAGTTTTTACAAATTCACAATTTACTCAACCTGTCAATTACAAAAGCAAATAACACTCGCTCTTGATACAAACGCGTCAACAATGGGTGAGAGTTCAATTGTTATTCTCAACGAAAAGGAAAATGAGAAATAAAAAACATTAAGGCCTACAAAACTCGCTTTGAACAATTTTTTAACAAATTAACACTTGGTCCAACCTGCCAACTACAAAAGCGGATAAAGCTTGCCCACAGTACAACACTCTTCAAAATCTTAGATTCAGGTTCAATTATCTTCCCAACCAAAAGAAGAAAAGAGAAATTTATAAATGCTAAAGTTTGTTTCAAGTCGTTTTGACCAGATCGAATTAGGTTGGATACCCATGGATTTGGGTTCAATTGTGAGCATGCACAACAAAAAGGAAAAAGTGAAAGAAAAAAATACTAAAGCTAACGAAACTCGGTCCCGATACAAAACTCGCCAACATTGAGTAGATATGGTATGGATTTTCGGTAACGACATTGGGTTCAATTGTGATCATACTCAATAAAGAGAAAAAAGAGAAAGAAAAAAACACTAAAGAGGATGAAACTCGGTCCCAATACAAAACTCGTGGTAGCGGCCTTGGGAAACGATGATGGGGAACAACTTAGAATTCCGCCGATAGTATTTCGAAATGAGCTGCAAAATGGTGGTCAAAGGCGATGATTTGTGTTCAAGTTAGGATACCCATGTTTTTGGGTTCAATTGTGATCATGCTCTCAACAAAAAGGGAAAAAATAAAGAAAAAAAAAACAATAAAGAGAGTGAAACTCGTTCTAGATACAAAACTCATGGTAGAGGCCTTGGAAAACGATGGTGGGGAACAACATAGGATTCTGCCGAGAGTATTTCGATATGGGCTGCAAACTGGTGGGCAAAGGCGATGATTTATGTTCAAGGTAGGATATCCGTGTGTTTGGGTTATTCAACAAAAAGAAAAAAAAACACTAAAGAGGACGAAACTTGGTCCCGATACAGAACTCATGGTAGCGGCCTTGGGAAACGGTTGTGAGGAACAACTTAGGATCCCGCCGATAGTATTTTGAGATGGGCTGCAAAATGGTGGGCAAAGGCGATGATTTGTGCAAAAAGTCATAGACAAAAACCTAGCGAACAATAACTAAACACAAAGGCAATGATTTGTGCAAAACTCATAGACGAAAACCAAGCGAACAAAGGCGATGATTTGTGCAAGACCCCATAGACGAAAACCTAGCGAACAAAAAGGAAAAAAAATTAAAGAAAGAAAAAAACACTAAAGAGGATGAAACTCGGTCCCGATACAAAACTCGTGGTAGCGCCCTTTGAAAACGGTGGTGGGGAACAACTTAGAATCCTACCGATAGTATTTCGAGATGGGCTGCAAAATGGTTGGCAAAGGCGATGATTCGTGCAGAAAGTCATAGACGAAAATCTAGCGAACAATAACTAAACACAAATGCGATGTTTTGTGCAAAAACCCATAGACGAAAACCTAGGGAACAATAACAAAACACAAAGACGATGATTTGTGTGAAAAGGCATAGACGAAAACCTAGCGAACAATAACTAAATACAAAGGTTGTAGAATGGAGAGTGGGATAAAAGAAGGACTTGGAACTTCCCAACTTGCACTTAAAGGAGTGTGAGAGCCACTAATGAATAGTAACCTACCACCTTGACTTTTATATATTACTAGGATTCAGCCCGCGCTCTGCTACGGGATACTATTTCTGTCATAATTTAAATGGGATTTAATATAATCTATAACCATAACTGTTATGTCCCAAACATAGACATATATGTTGTCATTGTCATCAACATAAAAACTGCGGTCATTATGCAAAAGATTGACACAGTTTGCAGAATAAACATGAATGTAGTTAGGAATGTAGCCATGTCTTCACGATGTATCTATTAAACTAATAAAAGTTCCATGGCGGAGACTGAAGATTTGGAAAACAGTAGGACAAAATGTTTTAAGAAGTTTCGTGCCTTTGTTGTTTGCACGACATCAAAATGGCAAGCTTCGAAGGACAACATCATTTCTCGAATGCTGATCGGTCCCACAGGGTGAGCACTGTCGCTCTCGGATGCATGTCTGAATCACTGTCCCCCACTTTTTTCCATGCGACATTCAACTCCGCAGCATATTTTTTGTTACAATTATTTGCGATCAATTCGATGATTTCGTCCTTCTTCAGAAACTGATAATCAGATGGTGACTTACGAATAAGTGACAAAGCTGCTTCATGCTTAAACACCACATCTATTTCAGATCCTCCTTGGCGACATTTCCCTTCCAGTTTGTATGTCAGTCTTGGAAAAAAGTTGTTTTTTGTTAGGTTATACAAAGAGTATCATTATGCCTTGTGTAAACATGTGAGAATGGTCAGAAGCTTACCCTGTGTTCTCTCCACGAACTCTGCAGATGCTTTTTCTGTATATAAACCTTGGAATGTTAATCAATGTCATGTAAGTAACTTGTTGCAAAAAATGTCAGATGCATTATACAGGTAAACAGATAGAAATGAACAGCTGTTGTCAATGTTGGTGTTTGTTCGTTTACCTCTGTGAAATCTGACATGTCCTCCATCCTTTCTTTTATCTCTCTCAACAATCTCTTTTGCAGTTGATTGCTTAGCAGGTGTCCAGTTTTTTTGCAAGTAGCATCATCGATGAAATATACAGGTTTGCGACATGCAAGAAAGCTACACGTTGAAAATAAATGTGTAAGGATCACTAACTCGATAGGAGTTGAACTAATCAGTTGGGTAAACCAATATACAGCAACTCACATGTTCATGACATCCTTGCAGCAGTCCTGATAAGAATGGATGATGAGCTTGCTTGCAATTGTGGATTGAAATTCATGCTGATACTTGCTGTTATGTCTAGGGGTTACTCTACTAACTGATCTGATTGTCACAATCAGTGGTAACTTTGACTCAATTGCTGGAGCATTCTTTTGAAAATCATCAATGTCATGGCCACTGTATTCAACATAAGCCTTTGCCCCACTGATTGCAAACCAATGCGTTAACTACACATTTTGACAAAGTAAAAAAAAGTGTACAATCTTAAGTGCATACCAGACATCTTGTATGAGCTGGTCTAATTTCTGAATCCTTCCTCTAATTGTTTCTTGATGAGTTAGTCTTCTAACACATCCTATAACATCTGTAGATTTAATGTTTGTTATGCTTTGTTTAATGGTGTTCTTAATCATGGATAGAGAGACATATATTTACCTGAATGGCAGACAAAGTCCTCTGATAGTTGAGGCACAATGAAAAAATCGGCTGCTGTGTATGATCCTGCTGGGAATTGTTGGGGTCCATTTCCTTCTTCAAAGTGTCTCCTAATTTGATCTGAAGTGAGGAGCAGGCGTAACTCTCGATGGACAACGCGTGGCACTGACCTTGCTGGACCTGCTACAATATCTTGTAGTTCATGCAGGCAACCAACCTTTATTTTCTGAAAAACCTCAGATGCATCTTCTTCTTCAACTTGTGCTTCGATCAATTTGTTCTGTAAAGTCAATGGTAGATAAATATGTTGTCAAGAGTTTTTGTTCTTTTAGCATTTGGTAGTAGGTTAATTGATGTCCAGGGTTTGTATATTGGCAAGTTCTTTTGTCCTAACACTGAATCAAATGCTCTGACGAATATTTATGAATATGGTTTGGGTATCTGGAGTCAAACATTTTTGTCAAGGCAGAGCATGTGATGTGTCCTTTTCTTCCATGTGGATAAAGGCACTTCTCGGAACTCAGTCCATGTAACGACATGTCTTGCTATAACGGTTCGATTGTTTGTTCCCAAACGCAGTCCCCGAAAGCACATGCTTGATTCAATAGACTCTGCAATCCGATTAAAGACGAATCGATAAATAATAAATGGGAAAAACTTGCATGGGAATCGAGATGCGCTTGTTGGATTTCTTTCCAGATTCAATGTATTTACCTTTCAGTTCGTTCGGGTCCATTTTGTGTGGGTCCATGGAATCTCACGTATCAGTCGTACTATACAACTGTAAATCTGTTGGGTAGAAGAATGCTTCCAGTTCTTCGAGATCCTGGTTTTCCTTTTTTGTCTTTAATCTTGACTGCGCGGTTGATTTTAGAAGGCATAAAAACAATCGGTAGTTTATGTAAGCTAGGGTTAACTTAGGGTAAGTACTTTTTGGATCGATTGTTTGGGCCTTGACATCGTGTTTGGGCTCTGTATGGTATGCAATGGGTTCTAATTATTGAATCAGGCCTTTTTACAGAAAAGCCTGCAATACGTTCCTGCGATGTATGTCTGTCAAGTTGTATCAGTTGGCCTCATCGATTTTCTTTATAAGTTCTCTCTAGATAGTCCGAACCGATGTTAACTGATCATAACTCATGACTGCTTTCAAGCTTTGAGTTTCGAAATAATAAACACAAAACGTGTCTCTTGTTAAGAACAACGCAAGAACTGGAAGAACAAATTTCCCCAGGCATAAAATTCAAAAATTTGGGAGAGTTAATAATAATCACTTCGAGCTTCTTCGATGCTTTCAAAATTAACCAGGTGCAATATCTGTGAAGGCTTCTGAATATACAATGTTTCTCGTGTAATTGGCTGGAATGTCCTCTTCATTTTCAATCAAGAATCTCAAACCATTTGCAGATCTTACTCTTGAAGCTGCCACATAAAGCTGTCCATGACTGAATACTGGTTTGGGCAAATAGACTCCAACCTTGTCCAGCGTCTGACCTTGGCTCTTATTTATAGTCATCCCATAACATAATCGTACTGGGAATTGCCTCCTCTTCAGTATGAAGGGCCAGCGTTTGTCTTCTACGTTGAGTACTATTCGTGGTATAACAACCTCTTTTGTGTCAAAAGATCCTCCCATGATGTTTCCAACAATGATATTTTCCCCCAATTTCGTAATCAATATCCTCCTACCGTTCCACAGGCCGTTTGGCGGGCTCAAATTTCTCAGCAAGATGATCGGAGTGTGAACCTTAAGTCTTATTTCATGATCTGGAACACCATTGAACTGAAGAGCATTCAAAAATTCTGTTGGATAAGTTTCAGCAAATAGTTGAGGTATCTCTGTATCAAGTTGCATAGAGTCTGAACTGTAGTAGCAACGGCAATGTCCAGGAATTTTTTGCAACATGAAGTCATTCACTTCAGTCACAACTGCATTAGTAGGAGTAACGATTGCCCTTCCACTTAGGTAATCTGTGCTCATGTGTTGTTCCTCAAATGTGTCATATATGTCACTTGTGATTGACTCGATTGGATTTTTTCCAGCATATATCAAGAGTATTTGTGGTATCTCAATCCAATCTGAAGGTGTGTTAACCATAAAGGATTTTGTTGGAAGCCTTCCATCTCCTAGCGCCAGAATCCACTCACCAAAGTTCATTCCACAGCCGACCAAGTTTCTATTATCCTGTGAATCATTAAGCCTCATGTTCCTTGATAGTTTGAGCACTTTAAAAAAGGGCCACAATGATGACCTTGTGATGGATCCATCCATTGTTTGTTCCCTTCCTGAATCTGAAATTACTGGTAGAGTCTGTCTAAAATCACCACCAAAGACAACTGTTTTCCCTCCAAACAACTTGTGTTTTGGACCTGATAGTGGTATGTCCATCAAATCACAAAAACGTCCTGCTTATAGCCTCAAATGCATTTCGATGTGTCATCGGTGCTTCGTCCCAAATAATCAATGAAGCTGCACGTATTAGCTCAGCTAAATGAGTACCTTTCTTTATGGAACATGTAGATGCATGGTCTATATGAAGGGGAATCTTGAACCTTGAATGAGCAGTTGTGCCATTTGGTAGTAGTGTGGCTGCTATTCCAGATGAGGCAACAACTATAGCAATTCTGGAAAGACTTTTTAATTTTGCAATGATTGCATTGTAGAGAAAAGTCTTGCCTGTTCCTCCATGGCCATACAGGAAAAATGAAGTGCCAAGGTTGTTGTTGATGGAGAGAATAATGAGTGTGAAAGCCTCTAGCTGTTTTGTGTTCAGTTTGCCAACCATAGTATTTGTCAGTAACCTTTGTTGATCATCATCAAAGTTGAGATGCTCATTAATCAGGGGATTTGATCCATCTTCAGGTTCTGAATCTGTCGGTCTTGGGAGGTGCTGAAGTGAAGAACCATAAGTTCTAAGTAAAGTTTCCAGCTGATGTAACACCCAATTCTTAAGTCTTTCATCTGAAGGCTGAAAAGTTTTTGAGTGTAGCTGTTTACGAAGAGAATAAACATGATCTTCACTCATTAACCTCCATGAAGATTCAAATAGAGCATTAGGATCAGGTATCTCACAGAACATCAGCATTGAAACAAATGTAGTCCGTATTATGTGTGGCATACTTGATGCTGCAATTTCTTGTAATACCTGAATCCATTCTGAAGAGTCCGACAGAAGTCCCAATTTCTGACATGCTCTTTCGTAAGTACTACAAATCTCCCCTTGTATTGTTCTTAAATTGAGGAAACTTGTTGCTCCTCTTACTTTGGTCAATAGCAGCCTAAGAAAGAATACATCATCACTTCCTGGAGGAACATATGCTATCCTTCCTATTGCGAAACCTCTTTTCCTTGGAGTCCATTCACTGTATTCTTCATTCCATGTAAAGGAAGTTGGTATCTGAGCATATGTAAGCTTTCTTGCATTGCAATCATGTCTGTTAAGTTCAAACCATGAAGTAAGATGAGTTCTGCCTGCCCTTGGATTTTGCAAAACATTTTGAATATTTGACCTTCTCTTGTATGAAACATTCTGTTGTCCATCCATGTGTACACCAAGTCGAACCACATTAGGCTCTTTGTGGTGTATAGAATACTCGTTGATTCTCCATATAGCTTCGTATGAGGATAGCGACCTGCAATCAATGAACTCTTGTATCGCGTCTTTGATTTTTTTCTTTATATTTGATGGCACTTGAACTGAGCTTGTCGAGTCTTCTGCAACAATAAGAGATCTATCTGGTCCTTTAGTAATGTACTTAAATAAGTACTTCACTAAGCCTCCCTTGTGACATATCTCCACATTAATATGAGCTTGAGCTCTAACCAATAAGTTTCGATTATATGGAACGACATATCTATTATCCAGCATTGCCTTTCCTTTTTGAACCTGAATGCCGGAATTTCTTCTTCTGTAAACGACATTGCCAAACTTGTCGAACGAAGTTTCTGAACAGAATTCTTTTGGAAAATACTTTGAACATTTACCATCTTTCATACATGGTGAAGTGGGGTTGTTAACACCACAAGGTCCATGAATCATGAACTTAACCACTGCAGCATACCCTTCTGGATCTAGATTGGGGTCTGGTATCTCTGCAGAAATCATCTCATCAATGTCAGATGTTGACTTTACCTTATCCTCTTTGGCTAACCATATAAGCATATGGACATGTGGGAGGCCCCTCTTCTGAAACTCAACTGTGTAGATTACTGCGAAAAAACAGTCCATCATTTGAACTTGATAGCTCATTCAAATAATAAAAGAAATTTTATACAATGAAAGGTCATCTACAGGTAACTCACTGGCTATCGTTTTCCCGAAATATGATTCTCTTTTAAACTCGTCAATTAATATGGCAAGCTTCATGTGAAACACACGGCAGACCACCATAGGCTTCAACTCGCTGTTTGGTCCAACCATATCTGCAAAAGCATCAACAATTTCTTCCCAAAGAGCATTGCAGGTAAATGTAACAAATAAATCTAGGTTACCATAATGTTGACAGGTTGCCATGGCATCATGATATAGTTGCTGCATATATCTTGGTCCTCCTGTATAAGATGATGGCATTATAATTCTTCCAAGTTTTTCTCCATCCATGTCTCCCTTTGCAAATGCATCCTGCAACCCCTAATAAACTTCTGCTCTTAAATCTTTTTGATGAGTTCTAAGAAATGCCAGACGATTGAGTTCAATTGTTGAAAATGCATCAACACAGTAATGTTGCAGTGCCTTGCCACTTTGAACCAGTGTATGCCCCTCATTAGATCGATATTGAAGTCTAAAAGCATAATACTCTTTTTGAGTGACAAATTTTCTGCGCATTGATGCTGGACAAAAGGAGGCATTATAAGAAATTTGAGGATGAAACCCATCTTCTCCGTACGGGAATAGCAATGGGAAGTGAAGAGCCTCGAATTTTGGGTTGAGGCTTGTTATACGTTTCAGCCCTTCTCCTCGATGGTCAACAATGATATCTCTATCCTCCCTATCTGCAACAAAATCACCAGGTAATAAGGCTGCAATATCAGAGCTAGTTGGCAAGTCATATTGTCGATTCCTACTTTTGATCCCAAAGATTCTGAGTCGGAGATTTGGTGTGGAGGAAAGCTGGAGATCTTGTCAAATGCGCCTAAATGTTCTGACCAACTCGTTGTTTTCATCAAGCATTCGAAGCAAACTTGCAAGTAACGCAGGCAGCAAGACTTCCTCTCGAGATGCGAAGTTTGCAATTCTATTGGTAACCTCATTTTCAGGTTCAAATATATATAGCTGAGCAAACTTGGGCCTCTCTCCATCAACTGGAAGTAAGGATCCAATCCTATGGTAATTCTCACCACAAATAACCATCGAGTAAGGTCCTCTTGTTGTCAAAGAGCGTGGATCCAGTTTGGCTCCAAAAGATGTGAAACACAAAGAACCATTGTAGGGTCTAATGTTGTCTCTAAAATGCTTCGACATTGCACCTCCATTAAGATCCAACAGCTGAGCAAGCAATGGAGGTGGTGGCTTTAACAGGGGAATGCAAACTCTTCCTTTCTGACAACAAAGACTATACACAGGATTTAAGGATTTCCTGTGTCGATCCAATCGTTCAGCATACCAAAAAAAAGCACCACAGAACTTACATACACAGTCAGGTTTTCCAACGCTCAGCCTATCATTGTGCAATGGCTTCCTTGAAGTTGGGACATCAGCTGATGCTTTCTTTGCTTTTTGATATTGACGATCATTCGTAGGCAAACTGGAAAATGCCTCATCACCAACCATTTCTGTATAAGGATCTGGAGGAACGAACTCACTATTGTGAGCATTTGTCGACTTTGAAATTTCCCCTGAGAGAATGAACGGCAGGCTTCTCAATCTCTTGTTTACTCTGGTGTTATCCACGTTCATATCTGTAAAGCTTTGTGTTGGATTCCTGGAGGATTCGATTGTGAAAGAAGTGTCACCTCTCCCTCGGCTCAACAGGTTGGAAGTCGCTCTCTTCTTTCTAGGTGTCATTCTGATTACATGGAGTAAATGTTTGATATCCAGTCAAACTTAAATGAGCCAAAAACAAAAGTTCAATAACTGCAAACTTCAGTGTTCTGTCTTGGTCAGACAGACAAAGAAGAGGATCCAAATCATTTAAAGAGGTTCCATTAATGTGTAACTGAAGAATAACGAATACAGACATGCTTAACTGTATCTGATGACGTGGTCTATATCACCAATGATGAGTGTCTCTGACTTGTAGCTCCAAACAGCTGATCATAAGGTCTTACCTTGCTGTATACTCCAGCTAGCTGATACTACACTGAAGGGAAAAAGTCGAGACAAACAGAATTACTTGGTGAACACAGGAGCAAAAACCAGAAGGCAAAGAGAAAGTTGAAGGTCCATTGGCGAAATCTCTTTGATATCTGATGTTTTCCTTGATAAGATATCATACAATCAATATATAATTTTATATAAGGTGTCTAATCTCTATTCAAGTAGTCATTGTGACTGCTGGTTCTGTAACCAAGGGTAAACAATGATGGCTTTTGCATTTAATGCTTTAGATTTTGAGCACATAATTAACCCAAATTATTTAAATCTTGCAACCCAAAAGATACCTTTTAATATTAGCACATGTCTGCTATCCATTACTAATCTCGCCTGTTCTTATCACATTTTTCTTGTGGACAATGCTTACTCTTTCCCATCACATGATGTAAAGAACATTTTTGTGATATTTGTATATACATAGAGTTAAGACATAAATGTAAAACATAGGTACCTTAGTTAAAAACTATATTCCTTGATAATACATAAATACTGCTGAGAATTCACATTCTGCAAAAGAGGGACCAAAAGGCCAGAATTTTGCCCACACTGGGGTCACAACATTTCAGGTGTCCAAACTGACCACCCTGATTTTACACAGAAAATTACATGCACTTAAAACTTACACCTCATAAACAGATACCCGAAGTACCATTAGTTTTGTCTAGAAACCAACAACATAATTTCCACAAAGTTGCCAAAATTAGCCAAGAAAGGCAACTTCAAAGTTGACAAACAGGTTCCCCAGAAGTTTACAAAAGAGCTGCAAACCCTCCAAACAGCACAACTTCAAACGATCAACATAATCATCCTGCCGATCATCAAAAGGACTTCTTCCTTGCAGCAAATCTAGCATCTACAAAAGGCAACCACCTTTCCTGCACCTAGCATAACTTAGATCCAGTAAATAACATAACCAATCAACATTAAAAACTAATAAATAACATACAAAGGGATCAGA